CCAGCCACTCCTCGGAAGGAAGGTTGGGCAATCTACTTCTGTAGTGATACCGCCTTAGAAACCCAAGGAGGCATCTCTATGAGTCGGATCTGACTCGACGGTGGTGAGTTTTGGAAATATTGATACCAAAAACCAAATCCAAACTCATTGGTTTTGTTCATATATAGCAAACCTATATGGTAGAGTAGAACTGCCTATAGAGTTTCCAAGGCTGTCAATCTTTATGGAAGCACGCTGTCATATCTTTCTCCCATGGAGCAACTGATGGTTTCACACTGCCAACCCTTCAGTTACCAGTCTAGTGCTTTAACCATGGCATCACCAGGGCTCCTCAAGAAATATTTATACCACACACACACACACACACACACACACTGCACACATACAGATAAGGAGCTCTGGTGGCATAGTGCCTCAGGCATTTGACTGCTAACCAGAAGGTTGCTGGTTCAAACCCACCAGACACTCCGTGGAAGGAAGATGGGGCAATCTACTTCTGTAAAGATTTACCACCTCGGAACCCCAAAGGGGGTTGCTATGAGTCAGAATTGATTCGATGGCAGTGAGTTTGGTTTGGTTTGGTATACATATATATATAAATATTAGAACAGGATTGTGTATCATATTTTTCTTTCTCCAACAATAATCTGAATCAGTTTTTATTCTCTTATATCAAGTCTTTCACAAATACTCCTTTTCCTTTGTACACACACTATACCCCCATGTCACACTCCCCTATCCCGCCTCTGTAGTTTTCGATTTTACATAATAGGCTGTCCCTGTTATTCACAAAAGTACAAATAAAAGAATAATAGCTCATCTTGTAAAAGGAGATGGAAATTTCAGGGGAATACCCTCATGCCAATGGCAAGAAGCAGCTCTGTTAAAATTTATATATGGAGTTAAAGTGCAGTAAGTTTATGAGAATTGTCTTTACAAGGTGGATGAGTATTGGGAAGTACCGAATGAAGACCCTGGGGTGGAGAGGTCAAGCAACTGGGAAGGAGGGCACCATAAGCTGGGACAGGTGAGGGACAGGCATCTTTGAATTCCCCAGTGCTCGGTACTCAGTTGGCACTTTATCAATGTTCAAATAATGGATTAAGAAGCAGACTAGATTTTACCCAGAAGCCATCACTTAGTACTTGAAAGCTGTTGGGCAGAATTTTAATTTTGTAACAAGCTACCAAGAAACCAGGAACTCTACTTGTGAAACTTCTCCAAATAATAAAATGTATCTGCCTAACGTGGTTGTTTGCGGTAGATTGGCAAGGCTAAGGTGAAAGAAAAGGAACTGAAAAAAAAAAAAAAAAAGGTTGGTTCCAAGGGCTTAGGTATTTTTTTCTTTCATTCCTAAGTTTTAAATTTCTTATATGCTTGTTGTTAAACAAAAAATCCAAATGCAGAAAGATGTAAGCTGAAAACTAAAAGCCCACCTCTTCTACTTACCAAGGAGCTCTGGTGGTGTAGTGCGTAAGGCACGTGACTGCTAACCAGAAGGCTGGCAGTTCAAACCCACCAGCCACTCCATGGAAGGAAGACTGGGTGATCTACTTCCATAAAGATTTACCTCCTTGGAAACCCAAAGGGGGTTGCTATGAGTCAAAATCAACTCGATGGCAGTGAGTTTGGTATTTTTGGTCTACTTACAAGGCATAAGTACTGCTAACAGTTTTAGTATATATATCTCCAGACCTATCTCTATACTTATATATAATCTACATTATGAACCACTTGTATATACATTTGCTTGTGTAAGCACATCTGTGGAAGATACTCTTATAAGTAAAATGATTGGTTTATTTAATCATTATTGTGATTTGGGTGAAAGTTTAGAGAGAAAATTGGTTTTCCATTCAACAACTCATACACATTTTGTTTTGTGGTATTCATTGTAGTCCCTACCATGCAACACCACTCTTCCCACTTCCTTCTGTGTTTACCATTTCCTTTGGTCCTTCTTCTCTAGCCCTACCTGCCTTCTGAGCGTTATCCCTGGGTAAATGCTGCCATTTTGATCTTGTATGGTTGATTGGTCTAACTTGTGCATATTCACTTTTAAGGTTTTGACAGCTACTGGGAAATGAAAGGATATGTTTTTTCTTGGGGGAAATATCATACCTTTGGTGCTGGCAAGAAAGAGAAATATCAAAAATATCAGTGAGATGAGACTAGGTATTGCATGCCTCTTTAACCAAAACAAGAAACCAAACTCACTGCCATTGAGTCAATTCTGACTCACAGCGACCCCTGTTGGGTTTCCGAGGTGGTAAATATTTATAGAAATAGATTGCCTCATCTGCCTTCTGCAGAGCAGCTGGTGGGTTTGAACCACCAACCTTCTGGTTAGCAGTCAAATGCCTTAGGCACTGCATCACCAGAGCTCCTTGCATTCCTCCTTACTGACTATGTATTAATCAAATAATTTTTGAATCTCCTCCTTTAAAGGATAGGCAGATAGTATCTTTAAATAGCAACCATGGCTTATGCAGTCAAAAGCAAAGGTTGTATCCAGTTGGTCAGTTTTTTTCACTAAAATCAAAAACAAAACAAAAGGAAAAATCTTGACTCATTTGCTAGCCACCCAGCCTTTAAAACATTTCTGCAAATATACTTGGAATTGAGTAATGTTCATCTCCATTCTACTATTTATTATCCTTTCTCCCTTTGAAAAACAATATGGCTAATGCTTCTTGTACCATTGTGTCATTTCTCATTTGGTCCATATTCTATTAAAACTGCTTATGGGATATGTATTCAATCCTCAAAATCTGAACAGCCCCATTAAGGCACCAGAAGCCTTTACTTCTTCAAAAGTAAAAAGCCTTAACTGTTTTTTACAAATTTGATCATTTTGTTTTCTTCACACAGCCTTGAAAACATCCTCCAGCCTTTTTCAGTCTAATCTAGCATCCTGATAGAAAGGAAGCTCAGGCTCTTGGACCACTTTTATCCCTTTCTGAGTATCTTCTATCATAAGCCTAACTGATCTACTTTTGGCAAGTTGTCTGCTTTTGTGAAGGTTTGCATATGTTTTCACTACATTTAAAGTACTTTCCTTTTCTATGCATCTCACACCCTTTATTTTCCTATGCATAAACGGATAACCCCTCTATCCAATTCCACTTTTGTTACAGTTATTCCAGATTGTTGTTGCTGTGTTCTGTCCAATGTATTCCAACTCATTGGAACCCCATATGACAAAGGAGAACTGCCCCTAGGGTTTTCTAAGCTATAATCTTTACAGAAGCAGATCTGTGGGTCTTTCCCCCGTGGAGCCGCTGGGTGGGTTTGAACTG